AGGACTCTACTTCGAGGTGTGTGCTGCATATGGCTCAAGATGTTCTGCCTTCAGTCGGTACAAAGCAACTAAAATCAAAATATGTAGCACTATCATGGGAAAAGATGAAGACTTTTTTTAAGAACTTGAGGGGGAAAAAACTCAAAAAGCTATTTTAATATAGACCCTTAAAATACTAAGGATGCCAGAAACAAAGCTAATTAGTAGAAAAAGTGAATCTAAAGAAAGTATAGATGGCCCAAAACATGAGAATGTACCCAAAGATCTCCACTAAAGGTAGCTGTTGGCAACTGGCATTAATGTTTTAACAATTATGGTACTTTATTGCATCTTATAAAAATGTAATTGACAGGGGTTGGGGATTTAGTTAGCTCAGTGGTAGAGCGCTTGCTAGCGCTTGCCTAGCAAGCGCAAGGCCCTGGGTTCGGTCCTCAGCTCCGGAAAAATAATGTAATTGACAATAATAAGAGCAGGGACAGCTGCTGGGACCAGAATTTTTGTATGTTATTGATGCTAAATTGGTATTCAATCTAGATTTAGGACATGAATTTGTACTTTTCTATGGTAATCACTTAAGAACAGGCGGAAACCAGGCAGTGGTGATGAATGCCTTTCATCTCGGCAGTTAGATCTCTGAGTTTAAGGCCAGCTTGTTCTACAGAGTGAGTTCCAGGACAGCCAAGGCTACACAGAAACCCTGTCTTGAAAAATAAAAAAACAAACAAAAACAAAACAAAAAACCCAAGAAGCAATTATTTAGCAAGGCATCCGACATGAGAAGGACAAACTGTTAACTGTGAAGTGGAAATTGTTGGCAATCTCTGTGTAAGAGGGCTATACAATTTAAAGGCCAAGATTGACAAAAGCCATTGAGGAACAATCAGACTTCATTGTCTAAGTGTTGTACTTTCAGCTAAAAGAAAAGATATAGCCCAAGTGGTGGAGCACTTGCATGGAATGCTCAAGGCCCTGGGTTCCATCTTTAGTACTGTCTATATGAAGGGGGATCTTGGTCTCACCAAAAGACCCAGCTCATCATCCAGAGCATGTACTGTTATATTTCTTCTAGCTTCCCCCCAAGGATCATGTGGGCTCTTGCTGATGTTTGTGTGCATTGGAGGAAAAATGATTCACCTTTGTGGGGACTGGCTCAGAACTGGCTGGTTGCAGATTTGAAACTGGCATTGCAGAACTTGCGGAGATTGTGATCTGTGGTGGCATGGGTCAGTGCTGTGTCTCTGAACCCGTGAGGTCATTCTTTCAGTTCCAGAAGGATTAATGAGAATAATACTTAGCATTTGGAAGAATCCCATATTGGTGCTTTGACCCATGAGCTGAGGACTAGTTGGTGGGAGAGGCCACCTGGAAGACATTAGCACTGCCTATGCCTAAGGAAATAGTAAGTCCAAAGCTTAACTATCCCTGGGTGATTAGAAATGTGACTGCCACATTAAGATAAAAGAGTAGTGGTTCCCCAAGAGCCCATGCATCTCTCCCATGTGCGTTTTGGGTATGATCCATTGATTAAGCAAATTCTCACATCCCTTGCTTGATGGTGGAAAGAGAACTGATTCTACAAAATTGTCCCCTGACCTTCACGCATGTTCTATGCACACAACATACATGCCCCATGTATATGTACACACAAGAAAATAATAAATAATAAAGTATAAATAATAATTTTAATGAAACTTAAAAAGAAAATAGCCCTCCTAAAGGAAAGGTTAAGTTGTTGCGTCTGACCTTGCCCACAAGCAGAACAGAGGGACCACGTCCGCTGGGCCTCTTTATCTTTGTACACAACCTATTCCTCATTTGACCAAGCTGCTAGTTTTCCAAACGAATGGTTGAAATAAAGGAGTCTCAGTTTCATAGACCCAGCGTACTTCCAAAAGCTGATGGTTCTGAGCTGGGCTCATGACGGGAAAATGCTCTACCCTGCTTTTTTGTAGGCTGCCCCACCATCGGGCAACACGATCCAGTGGATTTGTCTGCAGCAAGCAGGGACGATGTTTATTGACAGCAGCGGGCTCGGAATCACAGAACAGGCCTTTGGAACACGGAGCTACACCCTTGCGAATAACTACTGTCCTTTCCAGAGAGTTCTTGGCTTGCTATTGGGCCTCAATGGAGACTGAATGACCTTAAGCTACCAAGTTACCATGAAGCTCAAGGCTGTCTGTCATGAGCTGTGACCTGGCGCAGAGGGGTAAGAGTCATGGTGGGTAAGTGAGGCAAACGAGCGTGGTGGCTGGAGCAGCAAGCTGAGAGCTCCCACCTGGAACCATAACCAGAAGACGGAAGACTGGGAATCGCATGTGCCTTTTGAAACATGAAATCCTGCTCTCCATGGCATATTTCCTCCAGCAAGGCCACGCGTTTTAAAGCTACCCAAACAGGGCCACCAAATGGGACCAAGTATTCAAATACAGGGGCCTCACTTGGACGGCTGCAGGGATATAGCCTAAGAACTCAGCTGGTTATGGCAAAGTCACTACCTGGAGGGATCAAGGATTTCCTCCAGAGGAAGCCAAATCCCAAGGAGCTTTTGGTGTTGCTTGGCTTGTTATGTATCATCTGTCTTCTGTTATGAAAATCATGTGTGCCTTCATAGTTTTCCCAATTGACTTTTCCCTAAGAAGGGCTAACAGTGTGGACTGATCACTCTCCGGACATACACATTCCAGGACTTTGGAGAACAGTCTCAGGAAAGGCTTTCTCTGGGGTCAGATATTTCCCTTAGCCACTTTGAAGGACTAACAGTGATAACAGCCTACTTGCAAGTCTCCTGATTTAAGGTAAATCCCACAAGGAGACACCACCTAGGTCAGGTGGATGTTAAGTAATAGCTTTACACAGTTTAGCTCAGACCCTCCCTTCTTACCTTCCTCCTTTCCCAAACCTTACCTCTAGTTCCAGGTCTCCCTTTAACTACCACCAGAGGTGCCAGGCGGTGGTGGCTCACGCCTTTAGTCCCAGCACTCAGGAGGAAGAGGCAGGCAGATCTCTGTGAGTTGGAGGCTAGCCTGATCTACAGAGTGAGATCCAGGAAAGGCGCAAAGCTACAAAGAGAAACCCTGTCTCAGAAAAACAAACAAACAAAAAACAAAAAACTATCACCAGAGGCATCTAGCTGTACACTAGGGACTGAACACACCTTCCCCCACCCTGCAGTCAAATGGCAGATAGCTTGAACAGATAGGAGCCACAAAAAAAGAAAAAAAAAAAAAGGTTTTATTTTCTCCCATTGACCTAGCAACTTATAGATTCTTAACATTATCTACTAATCACGTTTAAGACTATAGCTGAACACATAAGATCCCTCTTCTTAGATATTACCCGAATTTAGCCTTAATTCATTTCCCCATGGGTCACTTCCCTTTGGGGTTGCAAATGATAATTAACGGTTATTGCCTCTCTATGTGATTCTTATCACCTCCCCTCCCCCCATTTGACCCTGGAAGCCTGGCTTTACACTGCCAAGGGATTACTGCTTGTAGGTGTATATATACCAGGACTTCAAGGGCATGAGGCACAGAGAAGAGAAAAGAGAATGGAAGAACTAGATGGGTAAGAACTTGAGAGGAAGTTACTAGATGGGGAAGAACTAGATTGTAGGGTTAGAAGAGAGTACTAGAGGAATGAGATGGAAGATGAGGAAGAGTCAGATGGGGAAGTACTAGCTGGGTAAGAACAAGCTGAAAAGGACCTAGATGAGGAGAATTAAGACGAGAGAATTAAGATAGAACTTTGAGGGAGCAATAGATAAGTACAGAGATAAATCAGGCAAGATAGGAGCTAGACATGAGAACAGAACTGAAGCTGGGTATATAGGATGTTATGCCAGAGGAATTAAAGCAAGTGGACTATAGAGCTCGGTGTGCTGAGATTCTATTTCCTGAAAATAGTCCTCGCCGTTAGTCATTCTCTCTCCTGGGCCCCTGGGATGTATAATATTAAGGCTGGTCCCTCTAATATTATACAAGACCCCAGGCCTTCAAGTTTGACCAGGACTTAACACACAAGTACCCTCCATACAAGTTCTTGGAACTTTTGGCTGGGACTAGAACCTCAGCTTTTGTGGGCCTCCAGTTTGTGGACAGGGGCATATATCACAGGGCTTTGCAGTTCTTGTGAGCACATCAGCCAGTCCTTCATAAATCTGCATCTGTAACATTCATATGTAATATTCTATTTCTTCAGTACAAGTTGTTTCGACAGCTTGCCTTCCTTTCCCCTGTATCCCTTAAATTCTAGTCTGTTTTATTTTGCCCTTTGTCTTGGGTCAGTTTTCAAATCCCCTGGTGATGCCTAGTTGACCGTGTTAGAGATTAAGTAAGGCACCTGAAACTATATGGAACTCTGTGTGCCTGGAGGAAACTTATTAGCAGAGAGGCTTTACTTTGGGGGAATAAGAAGCCAATGTGTTGGGTATTGGGGAGGGTTTCCCAGCACCCAGAATGCAGGATTCCTTTCTTTGGGACCTTTAACCCTTTTCCTGAAGAGCTGATGCCTAGTTATCAAGGCTTCTTGTTGAGAGGGATGTTAATCCCGGAAACAGATTTTCATAATTTCCCCTCTTCACTGGTCCCAAGTTCCACTACAGACCCACGTTGTCTCCCGGACATTCTCCTTGGCTAGCGCCCTCTGGGTCTCTCTCTTCCCCCTCCCTCTCTGTATCTCTTTCTCCTTCTTCCGCTCTTCCCCCCCCTCCCTTTCTTCCTCTCCTACTTCTGTGTGCGTCTGTAATAATGGCGTAGCTATGAGCACATACAGATGCTGTATGGTCTCCGATCCCGTGTCTGAGCTCTTACTGAGAAGGGAAGATGGTTAGAGACTTGTCAGCATCAGCAACAAGACGCTAAAAGCTTATGACAAATTATGACATGGATGCATTTTTTATTTTCCTTCCATGTGGTGGTGCAGGCAAGCGCTGTATTGCACCGTTAGCCCCTTCTAAGATGACAAACGTTCTCAAGGTTGGATCTTGACGTCCCGACCAATCTCCCCTGAGGAGAATTGTCAACGCAAAATTTGTCTGGGATTAGATCCGTCTGTATACACACTGAAAGGCAGTGCTGTTCCCATGAATTTACTCACTAAGAGATGCCCACAGTTGTTTTCTTGGAATACCATGCTTATGTTAGTTTTAGAAAGTGCTCCTTGCAAAGCTGCTTCTCTCGTCACAGCAGTAGACTTCCGGTAGTGAATTGAGTGGTCTAGGATTTGATAAAATTGTGCCTACTTTATGATCCAAACCTGGAATTTAAAACAAATTAGTGATTTGTTTTGTGGACTACGTACTCTGAAAATTTAACACACCGTCTTTTTTTTTTTTTTTTTTTTTTTTAGCAACTATACAATAAAAAAGTAATTTAAGACATTTAAAGAGTCATAATTAAAATATGGGTGCCAGGGAGATGGTTAGTGGGGAAAGGCACTTATGGCCAAGTCTGACAAATGGGGTTCAATCCTCTGCCTCCAGATAGTGGGAGGAGAGAACCCGACTCCCACCAGTTGTCCTGTGACCTCTGCATGCTCATGTGTGTGAGCGCACATGTAACCAATAAGTATGTGACTAAACACTGTTAAAGTAAGATACAGAAAGGGGGACGGAATCAAAGCTCTTCCTTTGCTCTCCAGTTAATAGGTATGCTATTAGATTTTTATACAAATGTAAGAAAAACTTTGATTGCTGTTTTGACGTCCCAGTGTCTGCTCTCCTGAGGACCTGGGTTTCAGCGTGGGCATCTCTGCCCTGCTGGCTCTGGCATCCCTCCAGACTGCAGCTGTTTCTCTGGAGACAAGACCGAGAGGAAATCCTTCCCAACCCTGCCATTCTTAAATTTGTTTTGTAGCCCAGGTTGGCTTTGAACTTTCAGTCCTCAAGCTTCAGTCTCCAGAGTAGCTGGAATTACAGCCTTATATCACCAGTTCTCTGTTTTTCAATAAGAAGAAAGGAACTCTTTAGGGAAAACTATGCAATTAGTAGTACCGGTGACACTTGACTGTGACAGACAGTACAGCCTCCAGTTCAGTCATGCTGGGGAGCAATATGGTCTGGGTGTGAATTCTGCCTCTTTTCTCCTGGCTGTGTGATTTTAGGGTTCGCTCATGAGAGGTCTTGGAAACTTGGCTTCCTCTTTTAAAATAACAGCACTCACTCACCACAGAGGGATGCCTAAGGACTACATATGTGCCTGCCACAGTGTGAGACACCCCCCAAAATTTGGGGGATCCTTGATTTAGAAAGTCTCACCAATTCACTCAATGAGCCAAAGTCGAAAGCACCAATAACTACGGTGATGTGGGTACTGTTTAAGTGGGCATTGTGTGAATACCCAGGATCACCTCTGTCCACCTCAGGATCCTCACATAGGCCGCAGCATACAGATATGCTACTAGGGGAGCCTAGAACTTCTGAACCGTGGGGTAAATGATCAATTGCTACAGGCTTTTAAACTAGATGAAGAGGAAGGTTCCCTAGCAGAGCACCAGGTTACATTCAACATTTCGTTTCTAGCACTCAGAGAATCAGCTTCCTAGAAGGAAGCGTTTTCACCCTTTAACTAGAAGGATGCAAGGAGCTAGAAAGAAAGGAAGAAGGCCCAGGCTCCCCTCTACCTTCTTTCTGCGCTCCCCCCTCATCTGCACATCCATTTCTGCCACCAGTTTCACTGGTCCCAGTCACACCTTGAGGCAGTAAGCCCCCAGGATATGCTGATCTTGACATCCCTGAGAGCTGATAGCACTTACCAGTGTCATAAAACGGCAGGGAGTAGTCTCTCAGGTAAGTTGATTGATTATACCATGTGGCTGTAGGACTTGACAATCTTCTAAAACAAATGTATCGAATGAGTGTTTGCTGGTCAAGTTGAGGCTGATACGGAGTTTGGCTCTTGGGTGGAATTGCCAAGTCTATGAGGGGTCTATGTGGAAACAAAAATAGCTTGCTGAGCACCTTTGGAGAACTGGTCCGTTTCTCATGAGCTGCAATCTAGGACCCCAGTGCAGTCTCTTAGCCAGTCTCCCCCACCTCCCACCCCACCCCCCTGTGCATCTCGGTGTTCTATAGAACTGTTATAATCTTCCCATGCCTCTCCCCAACCATCCTCAAACGATGAATGTAAACCAAGAAATCAAGATGCGGTGGCCAAACACCTTTGTCACTCCTGGCGGTGTTCATTCACTGGCATGGCGGCATGCTTGAGGCATGACTGTAAGTATGCTAGGGCACCAGATGGCATGTACCCGAGACCTTGAGAATATACATGTGTTTTGTCTCAGCAAGTCTATCAATTAAAGATGTCAACAAAGACTAACAATGCTTATCAAGGGGCTAATGGAAAGAATGGGAACACCCTGACGTTGAAAAAAGAAGGGAAGCACCGGAAGTGGTAGACATGCCCCTCCCACAAAGGTGACATGTAAACTCAAGATGCGCGTCATTGCTTCAGGATTCTTTTTCCCACCTTGGAATGAGATTGGATGTATTCACTGTTTTAAAAAAAATTCTCTCCAACAAAGCACTAGAACACACACACATACACACACGTAGTGGGTAGCCATTCCAGCTTTGATCTGGAAGTTCCAACCCCCATTGAGGCTTGGGTAACTGTCACGCCTACAAGGCGGGGCCAAGAGAGGACCCTGAAGACCCGAGATCCTATGTGCCATGCTCTCTTGGTTCCTGGACCCTGGACGCTAGAGGTAGACCGAGCAGAGTTCTCCAGAGAACACCGCCAACTGCGCTATGTCTTCCCCAGACCCTGCGACCTACATATCCCTTCATTTGTAAGTTACACCACTAATAAACCTCCCTTTTAACTACGTGGAGTGGCCTTAATAATTTCACCAATACACACACACACACACACACACACACACACACACACACACGTCTGATCCTAAGAACTATGTTCTTTTCTGTGTTCATTTTACTTTGTTTTAGCTTTTTTGCCGTGCTAAGGATCAAACCCAGGGCCTCGAACATGCTAGGCAAGCACTAGCACCGGGCTATATCCCTAGTCCTTTCTACTTGACTGGATGCTTATACATGAATGGACATTGCCTCTGAAGGCTAATCTGGAGGAAGCCTGAGCCAATCAGAGCCAACGGACTGTTAGCAGAGCCATGCTTTGGTAGGCAGACTGGGATTTGGCCGTTAGTCCTCTAGGATATGATGGTAGGGGTAGAGTGGAGCGGGGTATTGGGTTCTGTCATTTCCTCTCTTACTGGTGTTCTAGTAGAGGACTTAGCTCTAGGAAAAGTTGATTAAATCATGCAGAGTGATACACACCTATAGTTTGCAGTGACTCCACAGGCTGTGGTGGAAAGGTACGTGAGCTCAGCTTCAATTTGAGACCAGCCTAGGTAACATAATTAGAGCTTATCCCCCAGATTTCAAAAACAGAAGTTTCTCTAAGCAAATACTTGATTTAGTACTAAGAGCCCTGAACTGGAACTCAGGAACTGTGGATTAAAACTTAAACCTAACATTTACAGTAATTGTGTGACCTTAGTTGAGACACATTACTTGGGCCATCGAGATGGCTCATTGGGTAAAGGCTGGTGACCTGAGTTTTATCCTGGGGTCCCACTTGGTGGAAAGAGAAAAACCGAGTTTTGAAGATTACTCCCTGACTTCCACACGTGCACTGTGGCATGAGCAGGCAGGCCCACGATAAATAAATGTAAGAACTAAAGATGTATCATTCATCTGTATTTCGAACTGGATCAGGATGACCTCAGAGCAGCTTCCAGTTTCATAACTGAAATATAGACTATACACCGCTCTACATAATACAGGTGGCCTGCCAACTCCCACCCTGCAGGAGGATAATTGGAGGTTGGCTAGCTGGAAGTTAGCTAAGAGAAGGGAAATCGAAATAGATAGCAGATGATGAACTCAAATGACAGTGATCATGCTGAGTGCTTAATATGCCTCAGAATTTTACATCTATTCTTTTATTTGGGAGCGAGATACTCAGAGAATGTGAAAATTGCCCCAAATCAAACATTTTATAAGTTTCTCAAACTGACACTTTTACCTCTTGTAGTTTCTAGCCTGTCTGGACCAGGAAATAAGATTGCCGTGTTTATGGCTGTTAGTCTTTGCTGTTCTTCTTGTGAAAGCCACACACAGAAAGGAAGAACCAGGTAAACCAAACTTACATCTTTACTCAGAATGAAACCGAATCCCAGTAATTTTGAGTTATTTGGCCAGTTTGGAATTCTAAACTCATAATGTTTCTTAAATTCCAAAGATGATTTAATGAAAATTCTTTATTTATTGATGATTGTGGAAGCAATGCCTTCTCCTTTGAGAAAAATCTGTAAACTAGAGAAAAGAGTAAAAGAATACAAAGTTCTAATAATATTACTACTTGTGAAAATGAAAACAAAGCGAGATATCATCAGTGAGAGAGATGTAGCTCCCTGGTGGAGGTCATGCTTAACACACTCGGGGCTTTGGGTTCGATTTCAGCACCCACAATCCTCCTAGGCAACCCAAGTCAAGAAGTCCCAACATTTTTAATAGTTTGGCGTATTTCCTTCCACTCTTCTAGCCATTGGGTAACACTTGTGGTTAACATTACTATTATTGTTATTGTTAAGATTGTATAGCGAGGGACTGGAGAGGTGGGTTAACCCTTAGAGATAACCCGAGTTCAGTTTCCAGCATCCACACGGGGCAGCTCACTTCTGACCTCCATGGACACTTGCTCTCAGGTGCACATTACCCATATGCACACACATACAAAATTTTAAAAACATATATTTAAAAAAAGGTTGTGCAGTCCCCTGTACCCCATTCCCATTTTAGCTTCAGTGACATCCTTAGAAATTAAGATTTAGTGGTATGCCTCACCTTGGAACCCTTTTCACACTGTGGTCAAAATGGAGTCTTGCCAGTTGCCCGGGATAATAACCTCTGATGTCCTTTCCTTGGTGACTGATAAATATGCTGGAGGAAGCAGGCGAGAAGCAATCAGTCATTACAGTCGGTTCCTTATGGAAGTGGACCAGCTGGTGTGTAATACAAAATTTATATGGACTTTGTGCCCTGTCCCAAGCAACTGAAACCAGTCAGATGTTCCAATCATTTTGGTTGTTATTCATAAGTCTTTTCATCAGACCTGGGTTTGTGGTATTGGCTGGTCTCCCTTCCCCAATAACCTCTAAAACCTATAATAGAATGTCATTTATTTCCAGGATTCACAAAGAAATATTTAGCATGTCATGTATTAGGTCAGAATAGTAGGGGAGAGAGAGAGGGTGAGGGAAGGGAGATGGGATAGAGGGAGGGAAGAGGGGAGGAAGGACGGAAGGGATTAAGGGAGGGAGGAGACAATATGTAAAGTCAATGAGAAGGCTGAAAGATAGTTAAGAGTAGTTAAGCCGGGCGGTGGTGGCACACGCCTTTTATCCCAGCACTCGGGAGGCAGAGGCAGGCGGATCTCTGTGAGTTTGAGGCCAGTCTGGTCTACAGAGTGAGTTCCAGGGAAGGCACAAAGATACACAGAGAAACCCTGTCTCAAAAAAAAAAAGTAGTTAAGAGCACTGTCTGCTCTTGCAGAGGACCCAGATCAGTGCCCAGCACTCACATCTGACAGCTCACAACTCCAGTCCCAGGGGATCTGATGCCCCTTTATGACCCCTGAGGGTGCCTGTACACATGCGGTATATCCATATATACTCAGGAACATACACATAAAATAAATACAGTCCTTGAAGTCAATGAAACAGATGTTGGTAATTGCTAAAACATAGGAGTAAAAAAAAAAAGGATTCCTTATTATTTAACCTTTGAAATGTTTATAAAATTCCATGGGAAGTTTTTATTTTTTTTTTTACTTAACTGTAATAGTTGATTATATAGGACTGTGATGTCAAGGCATGTGGTAGTAGTTAAGTCTGGTAGGGGGATTCTAGCCTCACCTCCAAGAGCTGGGTTGTGAGGAAGGACAGGTCTCTACAGCCTTGGCTGGCCCTGAACTTATCACCATCCTCCTGCTTCAGAGCTCCTCAGTACTGAGATTACCAGTATATGCCACCATTTTGGTTCTTGTTTTGAAGCATAGCATGAGCCGCCCCCGCAGGGTCTGGGAAAATGTATGTCTGGGATGCGAGCATGAGATGTCTTTGTATAACAGGAATGCTGTGGTGTTGAAGCCTTGGCCTCCAGGGTGGTGCTACTGGGGAGTGGCGGAACCTTTAGGAGATGGGGCTTAGGGGAGGACCTTAGGTCATTGGTAACATTGAGGCAGAAGAATAGGACGGAGAGTGAAGTCCAAAAACCCTTACACAAAAGCTGTAAGATTAACGTATAAAAGAAACCTATTGACAGGGATTGACAGGGCTGATGAGACCTACAGAGAGTCAGGTATCTAGGGTTTGCATAAGCTAAAAGAAGGAAGTCTCTGGAGGAGGGAAATCATGTAAACCAAGACTAAATCATAGTTGAGTTCAGAGTAGAGAATGTGTGGATGTGCTAGCTTTTTGTTACTGCAGCACATATCCGATAAATCGGCTTAAAAACAAGAAAGGTTATTTGCCTCGTGGTTACAGTCTGTGACTAATTAATTGGTCCTGTTGCTTTGGTCACACAGCACATCATGGCAGGAGTGCAATCTTCTAACGGCTCCTCCAGCCCTCCATAGTACCATTGGCAGGAGACCAGCCCTTCAAATACTGGCCTTTGGGGACCATTCAAGACCTGACGATTGCAGGGGTCGGGGTAGGCCTGGCTGCCTAGTGTGAATCACCGCAAGTGCTGGGCAGCCCAGGTTCTGTCTGTCTGTACAAACAGACCTCAGAGAGCTCTAATTTTCTGAATAACCACAGGTTGTCTGGGCCTGTCTAGAGGCTAGGATAATAGGACCGAGCCCTGAGTTACTGCGGGGGATTAAGTCCTAAGAGGAGAGAGAAGTTGGCACGGAAATAGGGAACAAATGACATTGCTGAGTGTGTGGGAGGTGGAGGTGCCACTTAGGTAAGCCTTCAAATCTGAGCACTGGTGTAGGAGTCCCCTAGAGCCAAGCTTCAAGTTGGTGAGGAGTCACAGGCATCCAGGACGTGGTTTTTAGGGTTGGTTGCCCTGCAGTCTGCAGCAGGCTGTTTGATCCTCTCTGTTATCATCTGTCCAAGAAGAAGTTCACCCTGCTCTAGTCGGTGCTTTGAGAATGGAACCATCTCCACTGGCCTCCAGTAGGGTGACCCGCTGCAGTCCCTTGGAAGAGACCCCTGGTTGGTTGGGCAGAAGTGGAGTGAGAGAGGAGGAAATGAATGTTTAAGGGAGGGCAGGAGATTTTGCTTCTCATTTTTTTCTCCTCCTTTTGCATTTCCTGCTCTCCCATCCCCCTTTCCCCCAGGGCTTTATGCATGTTAAACAGGTGTTCTATCACTGAGTCACAGCCCCCTTTTATTTTTATTTTGAAATAGGGTCTCTCTGCATTGTCCATGCTGACCCCAAACTCATGATCCTCCTGCCTCTGCCTCTCTAATGCTTGGATTATAGTTGTGTGCTCCATCATGCCCAGCCCCCTCTGACTCTGGGGAGTTTTCACATGTGACCTTAACATGTGGAACACGAGAAAGCTTCTAATTCAGCCATTAAAGTAGGGAAGTTTCTGTTTGTTGTTGTTTTTTTTTAAGTTAGCTTAAGGAGAAATGCACCTGGTTTGGCCAGAGGTTTTGCAGTAAGTACTCAGCTCCTCTCTTGGAGGTTCAGCTTGAGGGAAAGGATAAATGAATGGGAATGCCCATGCGCCGGGCCAGGCTTCTGCTTACAGATTACTGATTCCTGAATCCATCATAGAAAGCTCTCCTAAGGTGGCGTGGCTGTTTCTGGTTCCACTGTGCATTATTTGCGTGTCCCTGACAGCTTGGCTGTCTGAAAGAGCAGGTTTAATCTACACAAGAGTAGATCTGTCCCCTGGGAGGGTGACTGTAACCAGAGCAGGATCTAGACTCAGCCACAGACAACATTCAATATGCATGGGGGAGATCGGGAGTGTTTTCTGTCTATTGCCCGAGGGACTACTATCTTGTGCCCATCTGAGTGGCCTGTGCTGGGCCTCCAGACTTACAAACATGATCCTCTTTAATTCTCAGGCACCTATCAAGGGAAATGTGAACTCTTTGTTTTTATAACTGTTTCATAACAGTAAAAAGAGGCTCAGAGAGGCTAAGTGGACATTCTGAATACCACACAGCTCGTGACTACCAGAGCCACGAAGCAAATCCAGTCCCTGAGTTCCGTGTCTTACTCAGAGCATCTACAGTATAAACATGATGTTTGTTTTCCAGAGGAGTTCGGCACTCTTTCTGTTTGGACCGGATGATTCTCCCACTTCCAGGCAGTCAGCAGGCAGACCTAATGTACCAAAGGGACAGGGTAAGCTGGTTTCGGTTCAACCAAAAGAACTGTTCGGAAGCTCTGATGTGTCTGCAGTGTTCAGGCATGGGGGGTGCTGATGGTAGGTATAGTATGCTCACCCAAAGTTCATCTCCTGGTAAGGAGAAGCCATATCTAGACAACATGCTAACAACAGTGGTGAGTGCTTAACATGTTCGAGAAGTGAGACTTGGGTCTAAGTATCTTAGCTCAGGATGTGAGCTAATATAGAAGACGCGATTAAAGACAGGGCTGGGAGATGACCAGAGCATCCTCTCACCTGCAGGATGTGCTGGCCCTACGGTATTTCCTCAAGGAACGGGGGCCGAGGGTGGGGGGCAGGTTCCATTAGCTCATCAGTAAAATGAGAATAATAGCTACTATTTTCATCAACGATGGAACAAGAGTAATGAGACATTTGTAGCTGGAGACTGAAAGGTCCCTTCTTTGTTAGATGTTTCTGTCTTTCTAGGTAGAACGAGCTGACCCTGAAGTGGTGTCTGGATGTTTTAGAGATGCTACAGTTGATATTTGTCTTAGTCACTGTTCTACTGCTGTGACAAGATACCATGACCAAGGCAACTTGTATAAAAGGAAGTGTTTAGTTGGGGACTTGCTTTCTGTTTTAAAGATTTAGACCATGATCATTACATAAGGTGGGAAGCAGACAGGCATGATGCTAGAGCAGTAGCTGAGAGCTTTGCACCCTGATCCACAGGCAGGAGGCAGAAACTGGGCCTGGCATGAGCTTTTGAAACCTCAAAGTCCACTCCCAGTGACACACTTCCTCCAACAAGGCCACACCTCCTAGTCCCCACAAACAGTCCCTCTGAGGATCAAGCATTCAAAGCCTATGGGGGCCTTTGTTTGTTTGTTTGTTTTTCAAGAAAGGTTTCTCTGTGTAGCTCTGGCTGTCCTGGAACTCCCTCTGTAGATTGGGCTGGCCTCAAACTCAGAGATCTGCCTGCCTCTGCCTCCCAAGTGCTGGGATTAAAGGCACACACCACCACTGCCCAGCCTATGGGGGCCATTCTTATTCAAAATACGACATTTTACTCCCTGGCCTCTATAGAGCTGTGGCAATGTAATAAAGCAAAATGCATTTAGCCCAACTTCAAAAGTTCCCAGTCTTTCATAGTCTCAACACTGTTTCAAAGTCCATGTCTCTTCTGAGACTCAAGGCAATCTCTTAACTGTAATTTCCTGTAAAATCAAAAGCAGATCATGTAATTCCAACTATAATGGCATAGAATACACATTACCATCTCAAAAGAGAGGAAAGGGGGCATAGTGAGGAAGTACTGGATCAAAGCAAGACTGAATACCAGCAGGGCAAACTCCAAGTTCTGTGTCTCTGGGTTTGATGTCCACGAGATTAGATGACTCTTCGTATATCCCACCATCCCACTATCTCCAGCTTTGTTGACTGCAACATGTTTCTCTCTCTTGGGCTGGTTCCCCTTCCTGTGTGCAGCTCTTCTTGGCAGGTAATCCCACCACTCTGGCATGGACAACATCTTGGGGTCTCCAATGTAATCCAGGCTTTACCTTCACAGCTTCAAGCAATG